AACATTCTGTGATTCTGTGTGATTCTCTGATCCAGAGTAGCTTCATTTGTCACACTACATGCAGGAATTCTTTCAAGTTTAGATTAGCTGTTAAAAGCACTAGCTGTGCTTGTCACTGCACAGCTAGGATTGGGGAAAGAACCTGTACTACTCCTCATAAAATGGTTGGATTTTATCATCACCCTCGCTTTCTCAGCAGTTAAATGTTCAGGAGCATTTCAACTACAGTTATTCTGAATCCTTGGCATTCCCAGTTACCTCAGTTAAAGTAACTTGTTTATTCCACATGTCGGGGGTGTAACTTTCAAACAGTTTTCTGAAACAATTTTGCTCCCATGATTCAATTTCAAAGTAAATTTCTCTCCAGTGCTTAAGGAGATCAAGGATCTAAATAATTGTAATAGATAAGTCTAATTTCTACACCTTCAAAGGATTTCAGTTCATTTGCGAAACAGCTTTCCAGGGTCTCTGTCTCATCTCGTTCCTCTGTTAAAAAACGCCTGCATCTATTTTACTACATTTCTTTCCCTTTTTTTTTTAAATAGCTGACAAATTGTTGTAGAGCATGCTTAATACAAAACGCTTTCAATATCATGCTGTACTTGTACAAATGTTCATGATTAATCTAGAATAGTACTGCTACGAGCATAAAAGCCTGTTCTCCCCTAAATCATGATTATTTTTTTACTTTTAGACTGATCTACTAAAGATGCACCACAGAAGTAGCGCATCAGTGGTTACAAGCCGCTGCTATATGTAGTAGCATGAATGATACAGGAAGACGCCACTGAAGGAAATTAAACAGTTAAGCACAGGTGGAAGTCTAGGCACCAAAAGGTTGCTTGAGGAATGAAAGGCAGTATGTTATTCTACCTCATAATTTAATGTGGGGTTTTTTGTTTTGGTTTGGTTTTTTTTATTCCAGAAGGTAACAAAAAATAGAAAATTTACAGAGAAGTCAATAATGCTAAACTCAGTTATTGCAAAAGCCCTCCCCTTCAGGTAGTAAAGGTAAAATAGCCAGAGAAAACCTTATACTCTTGAACTTCAAACTTAAAGCAGTATTATTCTTGACTATTTCAGATACAAAGGTTTTAATAGATAGGCAGAATCCCTATATCAAGGGGTTTTTGAAGCGGGCTCAGAAATTGATGGAAATTAAGTCTTTCATGTGACAAGAAGCTGAAAACACAGTGACACTCACCTGTTTGGTCCTTTTCCTTTTCCATTTTTTTGTTTGCTCCTTTCTTCCACTGTTCTTTGGTTTTGTTGGCTTCCTCATGCTGCTTCTGCTCAGCAAGTGATTTATTTAGTACTTGCGAAAGAACAGAATCCCCTTCCCCAACTAGAAACATGGTCTTGAACTTGTTATACAACATCGTAGACTTCTCCATGATAACTTGACTAACTTTGAATTTCCGTATCTGAAAGCAGAGAAATAAAACAGTGAGCTCCACTTAGGTATTTAAATACCTATGTAATTTGACCATGTGCTAGATTAAATTTTTAATTTAACCTGAAAAAAGATAATAGCGTTTTACACTCTCTGGAGTATCACAGAACAGCCCAGGTTAGAAGGGACCTTTGTGGTAAGGGAGCCTGGATGAGATTATCAAGCACTCTGTTCAGTTACGTCTTGGAAACCTCAAGTGATGAGGACTCCACCACAGAGGAGATTGTTGCAGATAATTACTGTTCTCACTGTAAAAAATTTTCTTTATATACACATTAAGATGAAACCTCCTCCAGTGTCACTTTTACCTGTTGCCCCTTGTCTTCTCCATGTGGCTACTCATGAAGGGAGAGCCTCTGTCCTCTTTGTAGCAGCCCTTTAAGTGCTGGAATACTGTGATGAGGTCCCCTGAGACCTCTCCGGCAAGACAAGATCTAACCCCTTCAAGTCTTTCCTTAGAGAGCTGGTTCTCCAGCCCCTTGACCATCTTCACAGCCCTCCTTTGGACCCTCTCCAGTCTGTCCACATACTTCTTGAGCTGTGGGGACCAGAACTGGACACAGTACCCCGGTAGTAAATAATACTGATATCAGTTCACAAAAACACACAGGTTACTTTGATCATCATTGCAGATCTCACCTTCTTTAGAGTCAGAATCATCTCTGTATGTTTCTGAGCTTGCTGCATTGTGAGTTGAAGGGATGCAAGCTCATCAAGAGCCTCAATACACCTGTTCACGTCCTGTATATGAACAAAAAGTTAGTTTTAAGACTTACATCCTTAATTAGCCATACTAAATTCATTTACATGGTCAGTGATATCTTCCTACATCGTTAATTTGACTATGTACTTAATTTTAGAACAATTTACACAAACTTGCAAAGAAAAATTAACCTCAGTTGCTGTTCAGCCACTTTCGTAACAGTTATTTGAATATTTGACTAACTTCCAATTTTTAAAAATACTTTTATACTTCCAAACTCGAGCCTTATGCCACTTTCACAACTGTAGTATTTCTGTGCTTAAAGCTGTTCTCCAGTCAGCCTTTTCCATGTACAATTTTTCCCAAGTGACTTGCCACTGAGAAGGTAACAACGCATCTTAAGTGGACTGCAGTTAATATACAGAACTGTGTCTTTGTAGATTTTTCAGGTAGAAGTATGATGAGCAGCACACTATGCACAGCACCCAGAAGTAATAATGTGAGCTTCTCATCCATTTCTCAGAACCACTGTACTAAAGTGTTCTTTCTGTAACATTTAGTTCTCAACTTCCTTATCTTCAGCTCCTCTTGCTTATTTTACTTCCTATTTAGAGAGATTCCTTGCCAGCACAGGTCTGCATCTAGTATAAAGTTGTAGCTCCTGTTCTCAATGGAAATTAATATTAAAAAAAAAACCTCCAAACCCAAACAAACGATGGTCAGGACTATGTTCAGCAGAACTCTTATACTGTGTCTACTTGTTAAATAGAAGTATCATAAACTAAGTGTCCTTGCTGTAGCTCTACAACCAATGTTCTTCCCCATATTATAAGGTGCTTGTTCCATTACACCACTAAATCAGAGGTTTGGTGGCATTATGGGGGTTTCCCATTTAACTATTTTAGGGGAATCTAGTATCTGGATCAGGCGGAGAGATTTATTTAAGCCAAACTGTTAAGTTCTGTAAAACCTTTTTACATTTTATTTAAGGTGAATTATCTTTTGAGACAAAGTATTGGCTCAGACTTAAATAAAATAATTTAAGAATAGGCCATGCCGGAAACGAATGTCTCCTATTTAACACTGCAATGGGTTCACCTTGGCCAGCACTAGTTCCCCTGCCAGCCACTCACTGCTCCCTCGTTAACAGTGCAGGTGGGGAAAAAGAAAGCTCATGCGTCAAGACAAAGACAAGGAAATGGATTACCAGTTACTGTTGTGGGCAAAACAGATTCTACCAAGGGGAAATAATAATTTGTAACCAATTAAAATAGATGTTGATCCTGAGAAACAAAGACAACAACATTAAATCAACACTTTCCCTTCCTCCCTCTCTCCTGTACTTGATTTCACTCCAGGCTCCCCTCCCCAGCCCACCCCCAGGCAGTACAGGGGGGCAGATGGTCAGTACATCATGGTTCCTCTATGCATCTCCTGCCCTTTAACATCCTCCTCTGCTCCGCTATGTGCTCTCCCCAGGCCACAGTGCAGACATCTGCTCCTTTGTGGTCTTTTACACCGGCAGCATGTGAATATCTGCTCCAGCAGCACAGAGCACTTCCTCTCTTCTCCGATGCTGGTGTTCACACTGCTGTTTCTTGTTCTTAGAGATCATTTAATCCAACCTCCCCACTGTGGGCAGGGATGCCCTTAACTAGATCAGGTTGCTCAAGGCCTCATCCAACTTGGCCTTGAACATCTCCAAGGAACGGGCATCCACAACCTCTCTGGGCAATTTATTCAAGTCTTGCTACCCTCGTACTGAAGAATTTCTTCCCAAGATCCAATCTAAACCTATTCTCCTTCAGCTTCAATCCATTTCCCCTTGTTTTATCACTGGACACTCTTGTAAAAAGTCCCTCCCCAGCCTTCCTGTAGGTTCCCTTCAGGTATTGGAAGGCAGCAATAAGGTCCCTCCAGAGTCTTCTCTAGGCTGAACACTCCCAGCTCCCTCAGCCTGTCCTCATAGCAGAGGTGCTCCAGCCCCTGGATCATCTTTGTCACCCTCCTCTGGACTCGTTCCAACAGATCCACGTCCCTCTTATGGTGGGGGCACCAGAATTGGACGCAGTATTCGAGGCGGGGTCTCACAAGAGCAGAGTAAAGGGGGAGAGGCAACTCTCCTGATCTGCTGGCCACGCTCCTCTTGATCCATCCCAGGATGCAGTTGGCCTTCTGGGCTGCGTGAGCGCACTGCCGGCTCATGTTGAGCTTCTCGTCTACCAACACCCTCAAGCCCTTCTCTTCGGGGCTACTCTCTACCCTCTCTGTACTCAAGTCTATATTTTTGCCTGGGATGAAGCTACAAAATAAATATGTTGCAGTTTTTCAATGTGGTATGCTAGTTTCATCTAGCATCCAAGCTTTGCCAACTTTGCTAATAACCCAGTGTCAGCTTTCTAAACTATCACTTGGTTCAGACAGTTCTTTCTTTGCAGTTGCTACTTTTGGCAACACTGATGTGCTTCCTCATGGACACTCGTATTTTCTCATTGTACAAATGGCGCTCATAAAATAAAGATACACAGAAAAATCTAAGGCTGAATCCATTTTCAGCACCATCCATGCAATGGTACTCTGAAAAGGCCATATAATTTGTTAGGGAAAGTCCTCAAACTGATGTCACTCTCACACCTCTCCTTGGCCCACTTAACAGTGGTAGCAAGAATTTTCCTGTCTTCAGCAGTATATAAAGGTGGAATGAAGCCTTATACGTGCCTTTTTGGTTGTGGAAACTGAAATAGACTTTTCAAGATTTGCATCCCCTCCGACACTTCAACTACGTAAGAGACTGGTGAAGTATTTTTGATCTGGTCTCAAACTGACATTTCAGTTTGAGAAAAAAATCAAATCAAAACAAAAACAAGAAAAGCACAAATAATCTTGAATTCAGAATACCTTGTAGTATTATTCTAAAGCACCAAAAGCATAGAAATTAAAACAGGCTTAAAGAAGCATACAGCTCAGGTCCTTCCCTGTTCGTTGTGGCTGCCCAACCGTTAACAGTGGATTATGAGCTAGAAGAATTTAGATGAAAATGTGCAGGTGCTTGACAACCCTCACTGTAAAAAAACCTTGGGTTTATGTTTAAGCAGTATCTCCTATACTGACATCAGTGTTCACTGGCTCTTGTCCTTTCACTCAGATGAATCTGGTTCTGCTGTCTTTCCATGATCCATTCAGATATTTGCACACAGGAAGATCCCCCTCTCAGCCTTCTCTTCTCCAGGTTGAGCTTCTCCAGCAATTTTAGCTTTTCCTTCCATGATAGATGCTCCAAGCCCTTAAATCATCTTCGTGGCCCCTTACCGGGCTCCGTACAGCACCTCTATGTCTCTGTTACACTGGGGAGCCCAAAACAGGATCCAGTGTCTCACCAGTGCCAAACAGAGGACAGCCATCACCTCCCTCCATGTTTTTGCAACTCTAATGCAGCCCAGGAGGCTGCTGGCCACCTTTGCCACAAGAGCACATTGCTGGCTCATAGTAAACTTGGTGTCCACCAACACTCGCAGGGAATTTTCTGACAAGCTGTTTTCCAGCCACTGAGTCCCCACGCCCATGCTTGGCACACAGGGTTATTCCTTCACAGTTGCAGAACTGGGACCTTTGTTGAACTTCATGAAGTTCCTGCTGGCCCATTTCTCCAAGCCTCTGGAAGGCACCACACCCAACAAGCCTCCCCTTTCACTTTTCCGTCATCAGAAACTTGCTACAGGTGTGGTCTGTCCCATCATCCTGTCATTAATGAAGAAGCTTTAATAGTATTGACTATTAGTCATTGTACTTTAGCTGGACACACTGTCACTGAGCACAGTTCCTGCAGTTCCCTGCAGTTCAGGCAGTTTGAAGTCCATGTTGCTATTCACTTACTTAGTCCAGACTTCATCAGTTTGTCTATGAGGCTATTAGGAGAGACACTGTCAAAAGCCTTTTTAAACTTAATAACTAGGCAACATCCACTGCTCTCCCTCATCCACCAAGCCAGTCACCTCACAGAAGGATGTTGGTTTGGTCAAGCATGATTACCACTTCATTAATCCATGCTGAAAAGTCCCAGAGACCTTACTGTCCTTTGTATTACTGGAAAAATTTCCAAGAGGATCTGCTCCATCACCTTCCAAGGGATCCACGTGAAGCCGACTGGCATGCAGTTTCCCAGATTCTGCTTCTGGATGATAAGGGTGACATTTACCACCTTCTAGTTGTCAAGAACCTCCCCATAATTACCAGGATTTTTCAAAAATAAAATGGAGTGAATGCACAACGACATCATCCGGCTCCCTCAGCACTCTTCAGTTTATTCAGCACGAGGTCACACTTTGTTAAATTGTTCGTTAATTTGACCCTTGTCCACTGAGCATCCAATCCTTCTTGTTCTGGACTTTTCACTTGTTTCAGGGACCCAGGATTCCTGAAAGGAACTGTACGAGCAAACTGAGGTCAAGAAGGAGTACCTTAACCTTCTTGTCCTTCTTCACTATATCCCCTAAATCATTACTCAGCAACAGGCCCACGTTCTCCAGGTCTTCCTTTTGCTGGTGAGGTACATGAAGAAGCTTTGTTGTCCTTCATTTCTCTACCTAGGCTTAACTCCAGATGGATTTTGGCTTTCCTAAGCACATCCCTCCTGGACAGTGTCAGCATATTCTTCCTAGGTCACCTGTCCCTGTGTCCACTTTCCATATGCTTCCTTTTTTTGCGTGCTGACTACAGTCAGGAACACTTTGTTCATCCACGCAGCCCTCCTGCCCTGTTTGTTTTTTTCCTGCTTGTCAAGATGAACCAGTTTTGTGAATGAGGTAACACCTAAAAGCAAGTCAGATCTCCTAGTCCCTTCCTCTCTCCAGCATGGTCTCTCAAGAGATTCTTCCAAGCAGACCCCTGCAGAGGCCAAAGTCTGCTCTCCTGAGTCCAGGGCTGTGATCTTTCTTACCCTGCTCCCTCTTCCTAGAATCCTAAACTCCACTATCTCAGTCACTGTTGGCTGCCCGCAACCTCCACATCCCTGACCAGATCTTAATTTTTAAGGCAGAGATCTGACAGGGCCTCTTCCCTTATCAGTTCCTTCACTGCTTCTGTTAGGAAGTTATCACACTCCACAAGCTTCCTGGATTGCTGTATAATCACCATGTTGTCCTTTTAGCAGATACCAGGATGATTCAAGGACCAGAGTCTTTGAACCCAAGGTGTCTCCTAAGTGCCTTACGATGACTTCCTTCTCTAATTCTGCCTGATCAGGGCCAGTGGAGTTGACATCCTCAGGATGTCACTCATATTGGTTGGCCCACTAATCCTAACTCATAAGCTCTCCGTTGGCTTACCTGTCCCAGTGCAGAGCACGCAGGTCCCTACATCTTGACCATGACTTTGCCTGAAACTTTGCAGGCTCCTCAGACTGTATCATTGGCACCCAATACAGAAAACCAGCAGCAGTTAATTAATTGCTTTAAGGCCAGACAAGCTTCAACCATCTGTCTGTGATGTTCCAAATCTGAGCCCTCCGCTAGCAGCAGACTTCTTGAGACTATGAGTGGGGTCAGCAGATGGGGGGTCCAGCCCTTCCATCAGTGAGCCTGCCACTACTATACCCATCGTGTTCTTTTGGTGCTTCTGCAGGGCTCGGGCTGAGCTGACAGACATCCTTTGTTCGACAGCACTCTGTCTGAATGCTTCCAGTAAATAATTTATTGTGAAATATTTTCAGACAAAACCAATTTTACTGGCTGACAATGATCTTTTAATATCCACAATAACCTCATTTAAGTGGCAGTTATCTTTCAAATAGAAAAAAATTCCATGCATCCTCAGAATATAATTAAAAACAAACATGTCTGCCAGGTATTTCCTACTGGAATTGTACACATAAATCAGCTAAAAAAATATACTTACAAGATTATCAATTTTCAGGGAGTTCTTAATTTCTGCATGTATCCTTTGAAGCCTAGAATCCATTGACGTTTCTGAAAATTAAAAATAGTATGCACGAATATTTGATAACCACATCAAGTTTCTTTTCATGGAAATTGAAACCTTTGCATAAATCTGAACTGCAGGAAAAAAGTGGGCAGGCACTCTACATCAGACGACGATGCAGGTGCACACTTAGATACACTACAGGGCTTATTATCAGGAACGACAGGACACCTGAATATTGATGGTTTTGTTTTCAGTAATTTGGACATGATTCAAGTTACAGTCCAAATCCACCCAAGAAAAACGTTCCCAGTACACATGCTCCAACAGCTGTGCAAGATGAATGAACATGTCCACCTCTAATTCATATGCTGAATGCCTGTTTGGATTTTTTGGTACACAAGTGGTACATATCCTGAACAATACTGCAAACAAATGGTTTCCTTCAAGCCCAGTCCATCTTTGATGTGTTTAGATAATTTTATTCTCCCCTGCAAAAACTGGGTTGGTTGGAGTCTCTGCCACTGGATCTGTACTACACTACAAATTACAGCCAGTGGTTTGGATTGCCCTTAAAGATGGGAGTACTAAAAAAGGAATGACGTATCCCTATGAATGTCAGTTTGCAAGTGTGGGTTAGCTGACAAAACCACAGTAATCTGAATCTAAGCCTCTTGCTTAGGAATAACAAGCCTCTTGCTTAGCAAGCGTCTAGTAAAACTTGTCATCACACTTTCGAGGGGTCCCTCAGATTATTGTGTTAGGAGAAAACAGAAAGGAAAAAAGGAAGAGAAAAGCTTAAATAATTTAGTTCAAAGAGTAAAAGCTTTTGTTTCTTGTTCACAAATAGAAGCAACTATACAGGTTTAAAAGCTCAAATGACAGTAAAATGGGAATAGCAAAGGCATCTTCTAATGCACTGAAGAAGGAACACAGAACAGGAATGCACTGCTTCACAGACATGGATCAAACACCTCGGACATCACAGCCATTGCTTAGCAGTAAATTGTCATACCAGGCAGCTAATTCTGTTCAAAATTTAAGATGACCAAAAATACTGTTTTAGCTTCTTTACACTAACCTCTCTTCTTCTCCATCCTCTTAACTTCTGTCTTCTTGCCTTCGTCTTTACTCTGCCTATCAAAAATGTTAAAAGTGTTTTTACAATATTTGTCAAGTCTGTCTTGTCCTTTTTTTTCTGGATTTTTAGACGAGATGCACTATTTTGACGTATTATCTCAGTAAAACATTAGCATGCAAAAACCACAAAGAGCCAAACCCTCATTTTCAAAGACTAAAACAAATTAACAAAATTGGTTAGTTTAGATACTGCTTATGAATACTCCATACTGGCAGACACGTTCCCCTAGAAGCAGCAAATTAAACAGTTTTAAAAACAAATCAAATTTCCAAACTGTATTTTGTTTTGGTTGAACACACAAATTGGTAAGATGGCATTGTACGGAACGAACTTATGGAAGAAAGAAAATATTTTTGCTATGATGACAAAAAGAGTGAAACTATTTAACACTGCCACAGGGAATTATGGAGAGATCAATTAGTCATAATCCATTTCTATGTGACTTACTTTCTCATATAATTAATTGTAACAGTGTAAGTATCCTACAACTGACCATAAATGTATCAATGATAATGTAAATATTCTTGAAGTAAATACTAATACAGGAAAAAGATCCAGTGTAAGTTCATTGAAACCTCCTGGCTCTTTAATTATTTAACTAAAAATAAAACTGAGAAGAAAAATAAAATAAAACAAGACTTGTCTCCATCTCAGTTATGGGATGAAGACATGTATTTCAAACAAGCTTTTGAACCTTTTATTCAGAGACAGTCATGAAACCCTGCTTAACTCCTTAGTCTTATCTTACTGAGGGGTTACAAAGCCTCATTTTGGAATTCACACATTCCGGCACATCATGACTGAATATCCTCTGACCAATTTTCTAACTGTCAAAGCAATATCCATCCACAAAATATCCAAGCCAGCATGTCTATCACCTTCCATGTTCCTTTCACGCTCTACCTAGTTACAGAATCACGAGCACGTACGACTGTTTTACTTCAACTAGCAGCACAAGGTTACACAATTTAAGTGGTACATGTAAACTTCGTATATGTAGAGAATGGTGTACCAAGTGTTACTAGCCTTAAATTGTAATTAATGAAGTAGGTACAAAGACCAGAAAATTGAAACTATGCTAATGAGAAAAGTAACAACAACAACAATCTTATCAGCCTATATCAAGTGTATTAGTAGAGGAACTTGCAGACAGCACAAAGAGAGGTCTTTTTACTTTTTATCAGTATTGAGTTTTGTGGTATTAGTCATCAGCTACAATTAAATTCATTATGCATTCATTAACCACTACTCGTTTATGTTACTGAAAGAAAAGTCTATCTACTCTTTAACACATAAAACATGACAGCTACTTAAAAGTAGAGGAGATTTGATTATTATACCAAATCAATATATACCAGTTTGATTGAAGAAATCAATTAGCATATGTCAGATTTAAATAGAGAAGAGCTGCAAAGATGCTAAGGACAATTTACTGTCTCTGGAGTTGGAAGTGCTTAGGTATGCTACAGGTGAGTAGGGTAATTTCATTAGGTTGCCAGAGAAGGAGTGACAGGAGGAATAGACAAAGAAAGGGCTAAAGGATAAAAAGCCCCAAACAAACTAGATTTTTGTTAATGAATGTGAAAAAGGTAGAATTTTGTTGTTACAGGTGAAGGGGACCATCATCCTCCTCCTTTTTCCCTGAATTTTTACCTTGTTCTCCCTTTCTTCTGCCCTCCTACCAACTGTGGGGATGGGAACACATCATGCTCTTGTGGTGGCAGCTTCCTCACCCATTCTTGAGAATGAGTCAGATTTCTTCCTATTGTCCCGCCCCCCAGGTTCTGGCAGGATCTTCTCCCTAATCTTATGCTCGATTCGTTTGTGATAATTTATCTTCCGAATGCAGGCTGCTCTTGGTATCACTCTACTGGCTTTGCAGTGCTAGAATAGAATAATTCTTAATTTTTTCCTTGTTCTGTCTGACGGTGTGTGCTCCAGCTGCCAGACAGAGAAGGAAACGTTTTCCAGATAACCCTATGCATTCCACAACCTGATCAAAAATCCACAACTACGGATTAATATGTCCTACCAGTTCTCAATCTAATGTACCCAAAACTTAAAAGAAAAATATATGGCTGTCCTGAATAGTTTTTCACACTGATCCATTTTCATGTGCATATTCCCAGGTCACTTCTAAACAGAACCCACCAGCTGTCTTCTGCTAGAAAATGTAAGTCACTGAAAGACTGATTTCATTTCTATGTTCAGTTCTTCCCATCCTCTCACAAAAAAATGTTGGTTTACAGGAGCTTTTTACTCTCCACTTGAGAAGAAATAAGACAAAAAAGGGTGGGGGGAGAGAACAACTCAACACAGTGCAATCCAGTCTGGATTTTTTTCAGGTATTGTCTTCTGTTAGTTTCAAAGCACTCCTACAACTTGCAGACATCACATGTTAAAGACATACTCACGATTCAGATTCTGCCTGTTCCTCTTGCTTACGCTTTCTTTCCGTAACTTCCCTCTCATGCTGACCTCTTACGATGTTTCTTCTAGGAGTCTGAAAACTTCTTCCTCCTTTCTTCTTCTGTTTTCATTTGGGATTTTAGGATTGGAAAAAGAAAACCAGTATTATTATATTATTGCTTACCTGGCCATCTACACTAAATATCTTTGAAGAATCACATGGAACAACCTGACAAGAGTGAGTGTTCCCTGCAAACTACAATTAAGTTCTGAATTTCTTCAGTCCTTTCTCCCTTTTTTCCTTTCTAACGTAAGTCAAAATACCCAAAGCACCAGACATTCAAAATGATTAGCTAGGGATAGCTTTATACCTTTCAAAAACTTGATTTCAAGCCAAGTGTTCTCTTAAATGCACCCAAAGGAAAAAAAAAGTCTGTGTTCCAAGCAACACAGGTGGAAAAAAATCTTTTGACAAAATAAATGCTATCTTTAAATCTTTTGTTAAAATGTCTTTGAAAAGATGCTGTTCTTAGAAAACATCCATGAATAAATTATCTGACAAAAATAGGTTCTTCAACTTTTATTCTATGTTACCTATATTACCTAGCCACAGGGCTTCAATCGTTACTAAGATGTAGCATTGACTTCAAGAAAGATGTTCACTGATATGACTTTCCTCTTTAATACACACATCAGGAAAGAAAAATTTTACCTTGTCACCTTCTTGTTCTTCTCCATCATCTTCAGAATCAGAAGCTGATCCAGAACCCACTTTTGCAGCATTTTTCCTTTTTGATTCAGCCTCTTTCTTTCCTTCCTTTTTATCAAATTCCTTCTTTGATTTCTCATCTTCCTTCTGACCTTCCTCATCTTTCTTCATTTGCTTTTTGGGCTTTTCCTCTGGTCCTTTTTTCTTTGCCTTCTCTTCCTCATTAACACTAGGAACATCGACAGTACTTAGGCATCATATCCATTATCTACAGTGAGTTTAAAATACTACATTCTAGTTGTGTGGTGTTGTTTTTTTTTTTACCACAGAATATTAAAAATTATGAAATTAATTCACCCTCCATTCATTTAATGGCTCTTCAAAAACTACTCAGTCTTTTTCTAAAATTAAACTCACTGCCTAAGCAAAACAAGGAATAAATACTAGCACGGAGGTTCTAACAAAGCTAATGTTGATATATGCACATAGATTAAAAAATCAAGAAGAAGATGCTCTGAAGTTCTCCACACACCTATGTGTCTGCAGGACTAAGACTGCATACAGTGTAAACGAATTTTATAATGGATACTTAAGGTGTACATATACTGAAACTGCTTGTGTGCTAACCTATGGAAAACTACACTAATGCTCAACTTTTCAGTTAGTAGAACCACTAAGAAATTGACATAAAAACTGAAGAGGGTAAAAACAACAGTTGGGCAACAAATAATGTTGGAATTACAGCAGAAAAAATGTATAAAACAAAAATGTAAAAAAAAAAGTTCAGTATTTTAGTTTTGCCCGTTCTTGTCTTTTAATAAATACATTTTCCTCTCCACTCGGCACATAACTATGTAAGGAATTTTGCACAGGTTAGGAAGGTAAAAATCTTCTGTCTCCTGTTTCAGAAATGTACTACGTTCAGTTACTGTGTATCAACTACCTGAGCTGTAAACAGCACCACCAAAGCAAACAGTAACTCAGGCTGAACGCTAAAGGAGCAAAAATCTGACAGGAAAATCAGTACTAATTATGAAGTCTTAACATAAGTAACAACATGATTTACAATGAAGAAGTTTTATATTAAAAAACAAAACAGAACAACTCACAAGTCACCCTCTGAAAGACACGGTGGTTTCACCAACTTGGGTCTCCCTCTTGGTTTTGGAACCTTTATTTCAGAAGCTAGTATTTGTACAGAAATAACAGGTTAGTCCACAGCCACCATCTGCTCCTTGTTTATAAGGAAAGATTCTTACTTAATAGACAGAAGTTACACTTCAATCAGAATACATACCCTTCTTTTATTCTACAAAATGCAAGTGTTAAGTGAGCACCAAACTTTAAACAAGATCTGAAAAATTAAAGTGTTGGTACTTTTTCTAGTTGGCTGGCAAATCAAAAACTTTGGTATTTTTTTTTAGCCACAGGCTCCAGCTACCAGTTCTTGTAGTTTTTTCCACTCTGTGCAATTAGGATGTTTCATATGACATAACTAATATGAACAAGTGTCAAATTAGAGAATGAGAAAATCTGAAATTAGAGAACGGAGAGATGTCATTTAGTGTCCACGTTTATAAAGTCTGTTTATCATTATTTTGAGATATTATCATGAGGCTTCCATCACTTTTCTTTACAACAAACCACCAAGCTAGAAGTTCCACCACCACACTACAGTACAGAGCTAAACTTTCTGTTTTCCGGTTCACCTCACTGTTAGGAATCAGGCTAACCGTTTCTGCCTTGGCACTTACATCCGTCAGATGCTTGTCTGATACCAGAGCAAAGACGTGGTTAAGAAACCCAACAGTCAGTGTTTAAATTCCATTTTGTGTTAGCACGAAGCACTGTTAAGCAACAGATGCATGCACCACATCAGCACCAGAAAAGGCTGCATAGTACATCTTATAAAAAGGCATTTATACAGGGGGTGAAAGCATCTTATAGATCCTTTCCTGCTTTTTACAGACACTAGTTAGGAAAAACAAACAAGTGAAAAATTGTTAAGATAAAAACACACAAACAAATATTAAAAATTTAATACATGCAAATGAAGAAAGGGGGGAGAAAAGGGAAGCTGAATTAATCTCCTCACAGTTTCCAAGGAAAAAGTAATTAAGCCTAGTTAACTGTGATTGCACTTCCTCACAGTTATTTTCATATTGTCAGCAGATACAGATGAGTATAAATTGTTTGTTTCCCAGACCAGATGCTCTTAAAATGTACTCACACTGCTACAGGAACTGTTTTTTGATATAGTAGCTGGGGATAAATTCGGGAATATCAGCAAGCTTACCATAAAAATTCCAGTGAATTAGATCATTGCTACTTTGAAAGAAATAAGTACTGTAGAATTATCACCAAATAGTTCCAATTATGCATTTGAAAAAAAAACTAGACAGCTATACCTTCTTTTCACTTGTCTATCAATCTACACAGACTGCTACAAACATCTCTTAAATAACTCACCCCAGCTCTATTTTTACTGTCCTTTGAGCTCCACCTACAGGCTCTTTGTTCCACCAGCTTTCTTCCTTGTTTTTAATGGATATTCTAACAATTAAAGTATTTTATAGATCTTTAATGCATATGTAAACCTTTATGGAGCAACAATGCACAAAGAGCACTTACCATATATCTATAGTTTAGCAGCATTCTATAAAGAAGGCTTTTCTAAAGACAATGCTTGTGTCCAAATACAAGCCTTACTTAGAGGGAAAAGAGATAGCTCCCTGACGAATTCTACCAAGATATTTCTGTGGTGGAAAATATTAAACCTGTCTTTTGAAGTTACCTGCTGGTCTTCCTCTTTTGGGGCTTACTTTTGGAGACACTGGCAAAGGAGCTGCTGCTGCCACAGCTGCTGCCACAGCTGCAGCCACAGCTGCTGTTGCCACTGCTGATGCTTCCTCAGCTTCAGCTTGTTTTTCAGCCTAATTTAAAAAAGAATTTTACAAGTGAAAAAAACCACAGGGCACCAATATCTCAATTAGTTTCCTAAACAACAGTTTTAAATTTCTAGGAATGCACTTAAAGCTATTGCTTCTATACATGAAATAAACACTTCTCCAGCCTTAATAACAGATAATAGTTAAATATCACTAATTTCACCCTCTCTGCACCATCACTACCTGATATAGTAATGTTTTATGTAATTTCATTCATCTTCAGAACAATAAGCGGTACCATCACTACCTGATAGAGTAATGTTTCATGTAATTTCATTCATCTTCAGAACAATAAGCTATCTTGGTACTACAAAGGAAAAAGATTGTTTGTAACTGTTTTTAGGATCACCATAACAGCATGCCAAAACTACTTTCAAGCAGGCAAGCTCATGGTTTTTTCCCTCACGCAGAGATTCTCTTTTTAGATGCTACCATCTCCTTTAGCTGCAAAGTACTAAGCCAGTAGATGGAGCTATTCAGAAAAATACCTGCTTCTAGCTCCACAGCCAATTATTCATAATGAAATGTTGAACTGCACTAACTGGCCACAACGACCTTCATCTACACATTTTAGGGGAGTTAGGCTGTAAAGACAGAGAGAACTTATGACAAAAGACTATCTTGATGAAAGGACACATATCTCTCTGCAGAAGCATTCCACACCCATACATGGAGACAACAACTGAGAAAAATCCCAACTGGAGAAAATATTTCCAGAACCCAGTGATGCAAAAGTATCAGCCAGCAGCAACAGAGAATTTTTAGGCAAATACGTATTTATCTTAATATTATTTGTGGGCATATATAATAAAAAACAATTTTAAAGAACAGAGACAAAAATCTAGAACAGAGTAGAGGTACATCTCGTATACTAACTATGCTTTCCATCAGCCAGCAAGAAGACTGTTTAAACGAAGACAGAAAAATACCTGTTGGAGTGCTGCCTTTTTAACAATACCAGGAAAAGAAAACACCGTGTTTCTTAACACAAATAAGAAACACATTTGAGGTCATTTAACCGAATAGTGAGCCCATTTTTCTGATGTATCTCCTGAAATATTACTTTTATCTGTTCAGTAACGGCCTGCAGTAATGCAGTAACGGAAGTTTCTGGATAAACCCCTTGCAACATGCACATGTGCCAAACACCAGTCTGTCAGCTGAAGCTAGTAAATGTGACAGGAAATCTTAGGCTTGCAGTGCCTTATGATGCTGAAAACCTGCCACCTCAAACAAAACAAAAAAAACCCAAAACACACTAAACATAGGATTTGAGTGCTTTTTGAAAAAGCAAAGAATGAATTTTTTTTTGCATGTGTGTCACCTTGAGGCTTCTCTTCCATCGACAAGCTGAAATCACATGTATGCATAGTCACTCTTCCAACTTCTTGCTGTTTCAGACTAGAAGGTTTTTTTAATTTTATTTTGATTTTCTTATGTTTTTAAGAATAAGGTACTCTTTAAATTAAATTTTTTAAAGATTCAAGTCATTTTTGTATGAGCATCCAAACACATCTTTTTTATGAAGCAAGCGAAACGCAGCATGCTACTTATCTGTGACAAACATACTAAGAGCACAGGTACTTCACACTCATTCCATCCCTGCTGTCAGCACTAATGTTTTAAGTTAAATTGTTTCAAATTAAAATTAAACTTTGTCCCACTTCAGTACAGTTTTCAGTTGGGTCCGTACCCTGATGTGGCTTGCTGTGTGACCACATGAACATTAAGGCTGGAGCATGCTGAGCATGCAGCTGGAATTGCCTCTTTCAAATAAAACTTTGATTTTTTTCCAGGTTGAGACAACCACAAAATCACTACCTCATAAAAAGGGTATTATCTAAGGTGTTAGTTCAGTGTGACAAAGATGTTAAAAGAAATTTCTCAGAGTTTCAAAAGAGACTATTTTATTACTGTCTAACAGCGGTTTTTCTTACTTGTCATGGACTGTTTGGGAAAAGATGGGAACTCACTACATTAAGTTCAAATAGAATTAAGACTTATAAATCACCCTCTGCAAAAACTTTAATTCCCACAAATCTTTCGGCAGTTAAGCTTATGCATCATCTCTCACTGAAGAAAATTACATCCAGTATCATCACATCCAAAAATGCCACTAAGAAGAAGTAATGTAAATATATTGTTACCTTTCTTTTTCTTCCTCTTCTAGCAACTTTAGGAATAGAAGCATCATTTTTTTTCACCACATCCTGTGAAAATTAAAAAACATTGGCAAGAGTCTTAACAAAACAAAGTTATATTTTAAATTATTCTATTTTCTCACCAAAACTGAAGCCTCTAGCATACAGAATCACAGAATGGTTTGGGCTGGAAGGGATATTGAAGATCATCTAGTTCCAACCCCTTGCCATGGGCAGGGACACCTCCCATGAGACCAGGCTGCTCAAAGCCTCATCCAGCCTGGCCTTGAACACTTCCAGGGAGGGGACACCCGCAGCTTTTCTGGGCAACCTGTTACACAAACCTGTTTGCTGTTACCTCACAGCAAAGATTTTCTTCCCAGAATCTAAATCTACCCCCTTTCAGTTTGAAACCATTACCCTCTGGCCTATTGCTACACTCCCTGACAAAGAGTCCCTCCCAAGCTTTCCTCTAGGCCACTACAAGGTCTCCCTGGAGCCCTCTATTCTCTAGGCTGAACAGCCCCAACTCTCTCAGCCTGTCCTCACAGTGGAGGTGCTCCAGCCCCGAGTCATCTTCATGGCCCTCCTCTGGAGTTACTGGAGCAGGACCATGTCTTTCTTATGCTGGGGGCCCCAGAGCTGGACACAGCATTGCAGGTGGGGTCTCAATAGAGCAGGAGAATCACCTCCCTTGCCCTGCTGGCCCCACTTCTTTTGGTGCAGCCCAGGACACAACTGGCCGCCTAGGCTGCAAGAGCACTTTGCCAGCTCATACTCAGTTTTTCATCCTCCAATACTCCCAAGCACCTCTCAGATCAGGCTGCTCTCAATCCACTCATCACTCAGCCTGTATTTGTGCTTGAGATTGCCATGACCTAGGTGCAGAACAATTTATATTATTTGCCAGGGGCTCATATTAGGAATCTCACTGAGAGACTACCAAACCTCATCCAGCCTACTATTACCCCCTACTGTTGTTTCATGTGGGCACCAATGACACAGCCAGAAGCAGTCTGACAACCATCAGGAAGGATTGCAGAGCTCTGGTAGCAGAACGGGCTCTGGAGCACAAGCAGTTTTTTCATCAATCTTTTCAAAGGGGCGGTCATATCTGTGAAGGCAATAACGGGGCTACAGGACTGGTTCCACGGCCAAGGATTCAGCTACTTAAACTATGGGACTCCTGGAAACCTGTCTACTAAAGGCTGACTGGGTCCATCTGTCTGAGATAATTTAGACAAGAATCCTGTAAAATCCTGAAGACACCTCCTGCTTTTCAACTATTAAAATCCTCCTGCTTATCTAGTAATTGGTACTTTTTTCTGGAAGAAATAAGTACTAAATAATATTCTGTTTTAAATAAAGCTACGTGTCAAGTTTTAGTCCGTCTGAAGTCTTTATCTAGTGCTTTATCTTATGCATTTGCAATAAAGAGTAATGGATAAAAAACACACTGTGGTTCCACCTGTTTTAATTAAGTTTTTAGTCAAGCTACACTAAGACTCCTCTCTGATGAAAGTTTCAATTCCTGTTAGATTCATTAAGGGGTATAAACATAAGTGTATACATAAGAAGTCTTATGAATTAAACAGCCCCTGAGACTGCCACAGTTAGTGGTAACTGCAGCTCCTTAGTACTCATTAATAGACTTACATCAATCAATATAATATTAAGATGTTCTTCATACATATAAAAACCTTTCACATACTTCCTTATTGCTTTTTTCAGAAGGTAGATCATCTTCCTTTGAAATATCCATCTCCTTTTCTTCTGTCTCAGCTTCTGTAGGCAAGTTATTATCCCCTTTAGGGGATAACTGCAAAGAGAGTCCACACAGAGTAAAAAAATATACATTAAAAATATTTCATAGTGAAAAGAGAATACACTAAACCTTAAAATACTAGTTTTCACTTTAGGTGAGCAGTTAAGACTTGAAAAATCACTAGTTTATAATAATTTACTTGAAAATAACCAACATTTTCTTGCAGACTATATAGGTGCATTTTTTTAGATCTTCATTCTCTCAACGTTAATGCTATTACCTTGTCCCGCTTTTGTGAAATCCCTTTTTAAAGTGGTTACAGTTCTTAAAAATTCAACATTGAACAAAACAACTGAGGCACAAGTCTATCACGCAGTATTCCTAATTACTTACAAAGACATGCAGTATCAGTGAGTCTTTTTACAGATTGCAAATTTAAGAAGAATCACTGGTACACTAAAACCACAGGAAACCAGAGTACAATAACCAATGACAAAGAAAGTTATAGCTACATTTGCATAAAAAAAGAGAAAGAAAATTTCCTCCATACTTTGTAAAAAGACCTGTTCAGAATCTTCCATTCTATCTTTGCGTTTAAATGTTTTTTAATCCTCCCTGTTTCTCTTTCACAGTGCCAGCTCAAGACAGGCTAAGAGCACTTTTTCAAAAGAAACATGAAGCTTAAGTCATTGTCATCCCCACTAGCACATGCTGCTTGCTGCCGAAATTCAGTGAATTTGTGGGAATACAGCAGAAGATCGGTGAGGAGGACTGTAGGTGCGCTCAAACAACTTGCAGCTGGGGGTGTCAGAGAACACGTACATTTTACTAGGTTGCTGCTTGGCCTCGTGTGCCTGACCAGCAGCAGAGCCGTGCTTAAGATAACTGAGGCCTGGCATAGATGCAGGGGCATCTCTCACATCCCCCACCTGCAGAGCTGTCGTGTGAATCCTAGGAACGCAGACAGGGCAACAGGTTCGACATAACAAAGCAGTGGTATAAACACCACACGCTTTTTAGCAAGAGAAGACCTCCATGGGCCGGTGCTGCTGCTTTGTCGTGCTGCTTGTGCGATCGCTGCTTGTGTGCCTGTGCCCAGGTGTTGCAGCAAAGATTCTTCAGGTTCTCAGGTAGCGAGAATAAACTTACTCTTTGCCTTTCAGTCATGATTTGTGGTCGTCCCTATGTCCTGCCTATTTCTGCCCATGCAGAAGTAAACTGATGAACCAGTCCAGTTTAAGAGAAGATCAGCTCACACTGACTTTGCACATGTGGAAGTGCTGAATTATGGAACCCATGAATAACTCTGCAGTTTTCAACTCAACAAAATAACTCTGAACATCATCCATCAGTGTACTACCAGTAGTTTTTTTTTCCTCCAACCAAAGGCCTTTTTTCTTCTTGGAAAAAAAAGCTACTAGGCACTAATCCTACAGAAGTATGCATTTGACACATTGCAATTTCATCTGAATCTTGTGAATCAACACCTAAGAACAGTCAGCTACACCTACAGAAAAACTACACTAAATCTTGGCAACTGACCAAAAGGAAAACAGTCACAATTAAGGCAAGTCTATTCAAAATAGTCTGACAATTTAAGGGCACTGTTCATCCTGTAGTGTAGAAATCTCCAGAAAGTAGTTACAAATAAATGAGATGGCGTGAATGTATCAATCCCATCTGAATCATTTTAGAATTCTACTCTTCTTAAAAAAAAACCCAAGAGATGACACGTATTTCTTTCATGTCATATGACAAAAACCACCTGCATGAACAAAATAAAACATTCAAAGATAAGAGTTCAAAGCAGTGTGGTACACTCGTATCAGTAGGTGCACAGTAAGCTAGGAAGGTTCAACTCTTAAGAGTACAAAGTACCTACCAGCACCAGTAAGCTGAAACAAGGATGTTTCAGACAAGAATGCATTTTCTTAGTAGGAGTACAATATCTTTAAAGAGAACACAATCTTGTTTTGGAAGGTCTGTACAGTATTGTTGAGGTGTAGGGCTGGGACAGCCACTGAAAGCCGACAGATGCTCTCTAATCCCTCTCCCTTCCCAAATGGCAAGGGAAAGGGAATACGGCAAAGAGACTTAAGGATTGGAAGGCTAAAACAGATTTAATAATTAGTAGTACGAGTAAAGAAATAATATAATAATGAACTATAACCAAATATACACAAAACCAGTATCAAATTTGACTCCTCCCTCAACAGTAGTGGGGATCACTGATGCTGCAGGGCAGCTAGACTGGGGAAGCCTCAGACTCAGTGGCAGAGGGGAACCAAACACAGGAGCTGGATTCAGAAACTCAGGATCTGAATCAGGATAGAATCCTCCCTGGACACCAGCCATTGAAGAAGAGACCTTAATCCCCACAATCTCCCAGTTTTATACTGAACCTGACACATATGGAATGGAATACGCTTGTTGGTCATCTGTCCTGTCTGTTACTCGCTGGAGGTGCAACCTTTTACTTCCTTGTGATCCCTCCTACTACCCGGCACCCCCAGCGTGGCACACAAGAGCCAGCAGTGGCCTTGGGCACTACAGGAGCAAGTATCAGCAAGAGCCCTTCTGCAACCCAGTCCCTGGCAGTGACTGTAAACATCAGGTGTTATCACTGCTAGCAGAAGACACTGCAAAAGCATGCGGCTATCTTCAGAAAGTGCAGTCTCTTAAAAGAGACTGAGCTGAAAACTAAAAATCCTTGAACAGAACTGGTTCTGTTCAGCTCAAGCCAGGACAGGTATGCACACACTTACAAAGCAAAGAAACTAAACTGTCTACATAAACTACTGTTTACTGATTATTCATAGATACTTTCCCGAGTCAGAGTTCAACTGATACAGCTATGAAATCCTTTATATCCATTTATATCCTAATTAGTCCATTAAGAGCATGGCCTGATTCAAACTGATTCTTATATCTGTTCAAGCAAACACACCGAAGAACCCTTTAAGCCCAGACAGAACCTAATGCTCTGTTAACCTTTTCAACAAAAACTGTCAGAACGGAAAGAGACAGTCCTACCTGCCTATGATATTAACAAGTCTTCAAAAAAAGAAAGGGAAACTTAAAGCTAGATCTTGGTGATCATTTTCACCCTCTCCTGACTAGAACTGAATTTACTTTAAGTGTATTAATGATTTAGAAGTACAGGCTGGTAAAGAAACTCATTTTCAAAAACATGTGCAGCACTGTAAAAGGAATTCAGAAGGGCAGAAATATTACTATATATACTTCTTCAGAGAAACAAAGGCAAGGCAGTTGCAACAGTAAAACACTGTTTAAAGTATTTAAAATCTCAGCAATACAGTTTTGACTTTAAAACATTTCTGGTAGAACAAAAGACAAACTCCGTCACTCACTTTAGGGACAGAAGACTTTCTTCTCTTGGCTCCTGCTTTTTCTTCGCTCCCCTCAGCAGGCTCCTGGCTGCTTTCTTGAACAGTTTCTTTGATAGCAGTGTTAACAGCTGGATGGGACTTGAATACAAAAATGTCAAAAATGAGATCTAAATCCCTTCATGAACTACAGAACAATGATACTGAGAGGTGTTCTGACACCTGTAAGTTACTGAAAAAAGCATCATGTTAAGGAATCTCTTATTAGAACTACAATATTACAATAGATCTTATTTCATTAATTTCCACACTTTCCATTTTAAGTGGCGTTTTCAACATCAATTCTTTTCAAGCTCTAATGCTACAATAACTTATTTTCACAATAAAAACACTGTAGTGTAAAGTTTTTCTTAAGTGTAATTTAAAAAACAGGCTGGTTTTGGTCAAATACAACTGGGGATGCTACTGCCAAGAAGTGAATTTTTATATAAACTATCAATCCTAACTGCGCCAACTACCCCTTCCCTCAAGTATGACCGGAAAAAAAAGACTATGAAAAAGGATGAAGAATTAAAGCTAAAACCACAGTAACCAAAGAGGTAAAGTCTGAACTATTCTTTTTTACTCCATTACATCATAGATAGCATTCTCACTCTCACATATTAGCTCCCTCAAATAAAGCACATAGAAATCCCCTCACTCTTCATTTCTCCCCCACTGAGGAAGTGGGTTTGGGTTTATGCCCAAGCCTCAATCTTCTTTTTGTCCTCCACCTCCCCTACTAGCAGTTACAAGCAACATCTGTGAAGTATAAATACTGCTTTCAGAACATTCCAGACAGTTCTGGCAGTTGAACAGAAAAAGGAGCTGAGAAGGAGGACTTACCAAGGCAAAGTCCACCCAATAAAAGAAGAGGAAAAGAAAAAAAATTGCAAGTGAAGCCCTCTACATGAGTAGCTGGTAGTATTACTGTTTACCCCGAATAAAAGCTCAATTTTGCCAGCATCTCCGTGTGATTACGCACTCCCCTCTGACCTTACCTGCAGTGTGGCCAAACACAAAGTTATCTACTCACCCTGAGTTTTTAGGCTCTGAAAACTCAACTGTCCTCCCTGCTACTGTCCAGTAACTGTACCTCACTTAACTCTTTAAGAATCTGTTTTAAAATCAAATAATCGCATTTAGATCAAACACAGAGAGATCACGGAATATCTTAAGATACATTCATTCATCTCCAAGATCTCAGCTAAAATATTCATCCACTCGCCACAGTGTACTCAGCATTGCAACACTAATAGGCCGCAACACACTCTTCTGCTTCAAAATATCACTGGACAAACCACGTCCTCACTGATCAGTATATTTACATTCCTTTTCCTCTCAGTCCTCAAAACCAGTTGTCTTCACTTTCAAGATCAACCGCAGCCCAGGCCCAACCTCCCCTCAACACAGGGCCCCAGGGAACAGCACCCACAGCCACTCCTCTCTGTGGAAACTGGCCCAGGGTTGCCCGGAGCCGGTTACAACCAGCCCCAGCTGGCCTGGCAACAGGCAAACTGACTCCCACCACCCCCAAACTGCACCCCTCAGCCAACACAGGTGTGGCGGGGAGAGTGCAGGGCGTGAGGGATGCTGAGATGAGGCTGGAGGGACACTGGAAGGAGGAGCTGGCCCAGCCAGGCTCCAGCTCAGCGGAGCGGCCTGAGCAGGGATAGAGAGCGGACGGAAGGGACAGTCCTGAGGGGACCACAGAGAAGTCCACGCCGCTGAGTAAGGAGTGAGGAACAGCAAAAGCAAAGCGAGCACCGCACACCGGCCTCAGTCTCCTGCGCCACCATGGCCTCACCCAAGGGACTGAGGGAGATGTGTGCTGAGGGGACTGGAGACCAGCGAGGGGGAGTAGAGGCGGCTGGAGGGCAGCTGAGGCGCCTTTCTTTGTCTTTGTTTCTTGTTACCAAAATAGGTAAGGAAAAGCTTATTTCAGCTGGCTGAACTGTGCCAAATTGCCCAACATCGGTGTTTTGTTGGCTGTACCATACCCCTCTCTGGGAAAGATGGGAAGGTGGGGGCCTCAGAAGCAGATTTCAACCTCTCTGCTACTGTAAAAACAGGTACAAGCTTTCCCATAAACTCCCAGTAAAGCTGTCTAAATATCTGCATCAAGCACTCTTAAACTTCTTTTTCTTCTCTAAAACATTCAGAAGCCCAACCCCACAAAACCCCCCTACCTGTTAACTAAGACAGCTACAGACAAGCATCCCTCCCTTATTGACACAAGGGAGAAACTGTATGAACTTGTTTCTCCAGCTTTGAGAATAAATAGGATGCTAAGGCAACATCCTCAAGAAGAGGAAAGCTGCAACATCATCAAATTCCAAGGGAAAGAACAAGAACGGGAAATTTTGTACTTCTGAAGCCTCATAGTGTGAACTGTATGCTATCCTGTAAAGCACTGAAGAAACAAAGCTCATTTCAGCACACAAGCTGAAACAAGTACAGCCAAAAAATACACTACCATTTTCTTTATTCTTGGAAAAGTGGGATGTTCCTCCACTTTACTTAGAACCCTTTGCGGAACAGGGACATTTCAATTCTACGAACTGAGCTTTGCGAAAAACATGGAAGATTCACAACTTTAGGTCAATTGCCCTGACATGATCCAAGATACTCTACTTCTGAAGCAGACCTTTACTGGCGGTTTTGTTTCAGATCAAGTAACACTTACTCTGCCTGTTTTACATCATGATTTATTTTACAGAAAGCCACTCCTAGTCAGCCATTAGCAGATGTACTTTAGCATTAACAAGAACTGCCTGGAAGTAAAAGCAAGAGCTGGCTAAATCTTAATGGCTTGATTTGCTCTGAATAAAACTTACTTTTAACAGTGCATAGCACAAGACAGAAAGAGGTGGCTACCAAAAGAAAGGCTTTCTAAAGTTGAGCAGAACATTCAGAACAAAACGTGCACAAGTCCACTGCATTACTTCATTCATTTGGTAATTCCATCTGGGCCAACCCTCCTGCTCAAGCAGGGCATGGTCTGAATCGGACCATGTCCAGACGGCTTTTGACTATCTCCAATGATGGAGAATTCACAGCCTCCCCTGGCAACACGTGCCAGGGCTTGGTCACCCTCACAGGAACAAATACGCTTTCTAATGTTCAGAGGGAAACTCCCATGTTTCAATTCTTGCCTACTGTCTCTGGTTCTGTCACTGGGCACCACTGAAAAGAGCCTGGCTCTACCTCTTTGCAGCCTCACTACAGGTATTTGTATACATTGACAACATACCCCCTGAGGCTCAACAGTCCCAGCTCTCTCAGCCTTTCCTGATAGCAGAGATGCTCCAGTCCATCATCTTCTTGGCCCTTCGTGGGATTCTCTCTCCAGCATGTCCACACCTTTGTTGTACTAAGGAGCTCAGAATTGGATACAGTACTACAGTTGAAGCACCCCATTAAGACCAGTTTCTCCTTGCAGTAATTTTAAGGCTCACTTACAGGAACAGATTTTAAAGATGACTTGTGGAAAGTCACAAATAGAGAAACAGTGGGGAAAAAAAAGGCAAAAACAACTCAATAGCTCTAGAACAAGCCTTGCCAGTTCACAGAAAGACCGTGTGAAAGAGCTACCACCAAAGCAAGATGGGCACCGCCAGATCTCAACCCATGTGAATAAGAAAACATCAGCTATGTTGCCACTAACAAAAAGGAAACACAGGCTTTCTTATGCACTGTGGTTTTCTGAATGAATACTCCTGGTAACAGTCAGACAGTGAAATCTCTCTGTGAAGCGACTTGAAAAAAACCACAATTTTAACTGAAGCCCTGAACAGTAACAGGCCTCTGAACAAACCAAATGAGATTGTCCATGCAGTAGCACTTTGGCCATTCCAAAGAGGACAGGACATTAAAAATGTGCTCCATACACTGCAGTAGGGGATACTGGGTCCTACCTGGAGCCTCTAGCAGATGGCAGCAGGGGAGCCTCAAAGTTGATCCCTCAGATTTTGGAGTCGAGGGCATAAAGATTTGAAGCCAATTGAAAAGCAGTAAATAATACCACAAGATATCAATTCTTTTTATTATTCCTACAGGATTATCTAGAAGGCCCAGTACGTGGCCACAGTCCAGTGCAGAGAGAAAAAGCAAGAGCCTACAGAATGATTAGAGCAGGTACGCAAAGATAAAGAGCAAGACAATGTCTTCAGATCACAGTTGGGATTTTTTATAGCACTGCGTAGCTCCAGTTTAAGCTTCAAAGTTAAAAAGAAAGAAATGAAGAGCTACTGATACGCAAAAAACCCACTATTGATAAAACAAAAATTAAATTGAGAAAGTCACAGGCCAGTTTGGAGCCAAAGGGCAAGCATCACACTGCTTCTAACTACTAGAAGGAAAATACACTAAGCAAGCACGTACTGAAATCTTACAAGGATCCTACTTGTGCAGAAAAACACTGGGGTTTGGAGTACAGAAAGTAGAGTGACTGAGATTCCAAAAAACTACCACTTTTCAAGCAGTTATACAGTTCCAAAGATAAGTCTCTTATGAACATATATATAGTTTTAAGTAAAAGTTGATGTGTGCTGTAAAAAGTGTTAAAACTTTCTATGCTGAAATTGACAACATGAACCCTCATGAGTTTACTATAACAAACAGATAAACCTAGTTAAATAACATCTCCCATTTCTTTTACCCTATTAATACTAGAGATGAATTAAAAAGAATAATAAAGTTGAACAACAGCAATAATTCATTACCCTAAAGGAAGGAAACACTCATTGCCTTTTTCCTCCCCTAACAGTAGAGCAATAAAGATTTGCAGACTCCGCGGGACTTACCTGCTGATGAGAGAACTTCACTTTGGGATTGTTGTCTATTTCCCACAATCCCTCATTAAAACCCTTTCTTTTATTTGGTTTGCCATATTTGTCTTTATTTTCAGAGTAAGGGAATATGTCCTTTGGTCCCAAAAATGCCCTTAAGGAGAAAAAGAACAAAAAGAATAAAATTTCCTGTTTCAAATGGTTAGTCTTTTTAAAGAAGTAATCGCTGAATGTGAAGATATGAAATTTATTACTACAGCAACAATTAATTCTGCTACACAAGCAACTCCAATTTTCTCAATTTTTGCCTTCAGCAGCCCAAGTTTTCCATTACTAACACTATACATATGGACCCCCTCCTTCCCAGGGGGTTTATTGAATGTCTGGGCAAGAAACAGCTGATGCTGCATCTTCACTGCTGCAACCAACTGCTGAACTAGAACAATTAAAAATTGAGTAGCCTGCAAACAAACAGAAAGAGCAATTTCTTACTTAGCAAAATCATCAGGCTTAAAAGTTAAGAACAGAGTCCTTGAACCCAGACAATGTATGGTAAGACAACAACATAAAGGAGAAGAAATGGCTCGAAGCTAAAAAGAAAATCTTTCCCAGCTATTTACTTAGAAATAATCCCATTAAAATACAAAATTTGAGAAACAATGTTTAGTGTAGAGGACATGAAAATGCAGCACTTGAATACACTGACTGTCCAAGCCTGTAAGAATGCTATGTAATTCTGCAGCTTTTCAGTATGCAACAACAGGACTTCATATCTTGATTTACAAAATTTAACCAATAAAAAGTTTAAATTGTTCCTTATTTTAAATTTCTCTCCAATTCTTCTCTTGATGAAGCAAATCTTAAAAATATTTGATTTTTACTTACGCTACTCTCGGTACTGGAAGTCTTAACACTGCCTGCGTATTCTTCTCAGACAACAACACTCCTGAATAGCACTACCCCTCCTGCAAGCTGTGTAACTAAAGCTCTTAGTCTAGTAGGTTTTCTCATGTGTCAAAGTCACAGTATCCACACCACTACTTTCTCTAAGTTAGACTTGGGAAAACAAGATGACATACTACTGAGAACCAATATTCTGGTTGTATGTTGAAGAACATCAAAGGCCATTTAATTCCTGCTCTACTTTCACAACCTTTCAATTTAAGATTTCATTGTAGCACTGCATATGCTGCTAACAGAAAAAGACAACACTTTGGTGGTACATTCTTATTTTCACTCTGTGCCTAGACGTAGTTTTGCCAGAATGTACACAGGAATCCAACTATTTGTGAAGTTGCAGATAGTTGCTCTCTAAATTACTGTCTCATGGCAAAGTTAAACAGGTAATTCTAAACTCCACTCTCCTATTTTCTTCATCATCTTTAAGAGCATCTTGAGACTTACACCCTACTAAACAAAAAAAAGAACATACCATCATTTAGAAGGCTTAAGGACTTCCTACCCGAGCAGTAAAACACTCTCATACGAGTACAAAGTATTAAGTAAGCTGTGATGACAGATTAGCCTGCAAATCCCTCAACTCTTCCCAGAAGATGGTTAGAGAGGATTCAGTCAGGGCAAGAAATATGCACTCGCAAAGCCTACTTAAGCACACCAAAAAGATGGGGAGAGAGGCAAATAAGAAACCATGAGAAGTAAAAGTAAGAAACATTGTGTCCCTTCTTCCCTATTCCTCAAAGGGAAGCATTTTTCCAAGGTTTGTAAGCCTCTACCCATACTGCTGAGGCTTTGAAAAACAAAAAAAAACCAGCTACCGTGAAAAGGCCATGTAGCTTACTGGGTTGCGGTAGTACCAAAAAATTGGTACCCACGTACCAAAAAGAAAAAAGAACAAGATACCTGAATGAAAAGAGACTACCTTAGTGTGTAGAGTCCAGAAAATAGTGTTCAGCGTGACCTTCAGTTTATCTGTGACCAACTAAAATTTGCACTGATGTGATTTACTGGTATAACAGATCCAAATAAAGCTTTTATTAAAATAGTAGCCATTTTACTCTTTTGGGAAAGTGTACTGTTGCTGCATTAAGGCTGCATGGAAATAAACAAAACACACCTCAAGCAAACTCCCAAAACGTGTTTTAAGAAGCAGGTACCTGTTCACTGTACACAGGCAGCAACACATTTTGTTATGTTTTAACAAAACTTAAAGAAAAATTAACAATAGCAATCAAAGCACAAGTTTATACTTGTGTATAGTAATCTGCAAAACTGAACTAATACTATTCTTAAAAGTCAGGTAAGAATTACTCCCAAGTCAGTCTTGTTTTCATTCTTCTCTAGAGCTCCTCTTTTTTACTGTAACCATCCACACAGCTAGAAAACATCATCCTTTACAGAGAAGGACTTTTTAGCATGATTAAACTCATTATCTGGATCTCCAGAGCTGCCATTACTTACAGTAAGACAGGCTATCTATGTATAGGCCAGAAACATACTGAAAGTACATTGTGCGTAACTCTTCCACAGGTGCGGAACTAACTCTGAGAAGCACATCAGAGAAAGAGTTCACCAAACTTATTTGAATTCCCACTGAAAAGTACAGAAAATTGTTAGCTCTACGTAAATCTTGATGAATCACTAAGTCACTATTTACAGCTACAAGCCTAAAAAATCCTACATCCTATGGAATGCCATTCTTCTTTTTTACCAGGTATCTACTCTAAGCAACAATAAATAAAGTCAAGAAACATAAAATTTTCACCTATTACTGCTCTAAGGAGCACACAGTAAGTCACATGCCATGAGACAGCTGGGTCATGGAACATCCTGTACTTTGCAATGTGTATGAAACAGAGGCAGTAATTATTGCTATATTGTATGGATCTCTGAAATGTAGTCATCCTGAACCTACAGCCTAACAGAAAACAGACTGCATTATATCCTTGTATTGTAATAATATCAAAGAGTGAGGAGCAGACATTTCAAATTATCAAAAAGTGAGAACCGACATTTCAAATTTACCCATGTGAATGACAAAAATGAGAGTTTCCGAACCCAAGCATGTACGAGGACCCTAAGCTAAATTTAAAATTCGTCGTGACACACACGACTCTATGGAGTCAGATGGGCTCCACCTAAGAGTACTGAGGGAGCTGGCAGCAGTGCTTATCAAGCCACTTTCAATCATCTACCAACAGCTCTGGCTCATCAGGAAGGTCCCAGTAGACTGGAGGTTAGAAAATGTGGCGTTGATCTACAAGAAAGGGCAGAAAGAGGATCTGGAGAACTACAGGCCTGTCAAGCCTGACCTCAATGTACGGGAACACTATGGAGCAGATAATCTTGAATGCCATCACGTGGCACATACAGGAGAGCCAGGTGATCAGGCCAAGTCAGCGTGTGTTTATGAAAGGAAGATCCTGCTTGACTAACCTGATCTCCTTCTATAACAAGGTGACACACTTAGTGGATGAGGGAGAGCTGTGGACATTGTCTACCTGGACTTTAGTAAAACTTTTGACGCCATTTCCCACAGCATCCTCCTGCAGAAACCGGCTGCCCATGGCTTGGATAGGCATACCCGTTGCTGGGTGACAAACTGGCTAGCTGGCTGGGCCCAAAGAGTGGTGGGAAATTGAATTAAATCCAGCCGGTGGCTAGTCAACAGTGTTGCTCTTCATAGGCTTAGTATTATGGGGCCAGTTCTGTTTAGCATCCTTATGTTCTGTATGAGAGGATTGAGTGCACCCTCAGTCTCTTCTAAAAGGCTGCACGTTCTAAAGCTAGCACCATGTTTCGCAGACAGTGCCTGCTACTAGCAGTGATAACACCTCTGCCAGGGACTGGGATGCAGAAAGGCTCTTGCTGATATTTGCTCCTATAGTAACCAAGGTGACTGCTGGCTTTTGTGTGCCACGCTGGGGGTGCTGGGAAGTAAGAGGGGTCACAAGGAAGTAAAAAGTTGCACCTCGAGGGAGTAATTGACAGGACAGGCAACTAACAAGATTATTCCATTCCATGTATGTCATACTCAGTACAAATTGAGTGATCACGAGAGTTTAGGCCTCCTCCTTCAGTAGCTGGTGTCCCACGAGGACTTCATCCAATCTCCTGCTTTTGATCTGATCCCAAGTTCCTGAATACAGCTCCCTCTATCTAGCTCCTGCTGCTGCTGAGCCTGGGGCTTCACCAGTGCTGCCCGCTCTGCAGCATCAGTGATCGCTATTGGGGGGGAGGAGTGAGTTGCATTGAATATTTGACTTATATATAGTTGTATATAGTTCTTATCATTTTACTACTATTTCTATTGTTTCATTAAAACGGTTCTAGTTTTCTTCTCTAATCTGTAAGTCTCTCTGCCTTACTCACTTCTCCTTCCTGTTTGGAGGGTGGGGAAAGATAGGATTAGAGAGTGTCTGTCTGCATTTCAGTGGCCAGCCCAGCCCTAACCCACGACAGAGGATCAACAAGATCAAGGGCTGGGTCCCGCACACGGGTCACAACAACCCCAGGCAGCACCGCAGCCTTGGAGAAGAGTGGCTGGAGAGCTGCCCAGTGGCAAAGGACCTGGAGGTGCTGGTGGACAGCCAGCTGAATATGAGCCTGCAATGTGCCCAGGTGGCCAAGAAGACCAATGGCATCCTAGCCTGTATCAGGAATGGTGTGGCCAGAAGTACTAGGGCAGGAATTTGTCCCCTGGGCTCCATACTCGTGAGGCTACACCTCAAATCCCATGTTCACTTTTGGGTCTCTCACACCAACAAAAGCTTTAAGGTGCTGGAGTTTGTCCAGAGAAGGGCAACAAAGCTAGTGAGGGGTCTAGAACATGTCTTATGAGAAGCACCTGAGGTAATTGCAGTTTTTTAGCCTGGAGAAAAGGAAGCTGAGCGGAGACCTTATAGAATCATAGAATCACAGAATGTTAGGGGTTGGAAGGGACTTCAAAAGATCATCTAGTCCAACGCCTCCGCCAGAGCAGGATCCCCTAGGGCAGCCACACAGGAACGCGTCCAAACGGGTTTTGAATGTCCTCCACACCCTCCCTGGGCAGCCTGTGCCAGTGCTCTGTCACCCTCACAGTAAAGAAGTGTCTCCTCATGCTGAGGTGGAACTTCCTGTGTTCTAACTTACACCAATTATTCCTTCTTCTATTACTGGGCACCATCAAGACGAGACCGGCACCTTCCTCTTGACACCCATCTCTCAGATATTTATGTATGTTAATAAGGTCCCCTCTCAGCCGTCTCCTTTCAAGGCTAAACAGCCCCAGTTCTCTCAGTCTCTCTTCACAGGAGAGATGTTCAAGTCCCTTAATCATCCTCATAGCTCTCCGCTGGACTCTCTCCAGTAGGTCCCTGTCTCTCTTGAATTGGGGAGCCCAAAACTGGACACAGTATTGCAGGTGTGGTCTCACCAGGGCAGAGTAGAGGGGGAGGAGAACCTCCCTCTACAACTGAAAGAAGGTGGGGGTCAGTTTCTTCTCCCCGGTAAACGGTGACAGGACAAGATAAAACGGTCTCATGTTGCTCCAGGGGAGGTTTAGATTGGACATTAGGAAAAGCTTAACAACTCTTTCAGTGAAGAAGTATTGGAACAGGCTGCTCAGGCAAGTGGCTGAGTCACCATGCCTGGAGGTATTTAAAAGACATGCAGATGAGGTGCTCAGTGACATGGTTTAGCGGTGGATCTGACATTGCTAGGCTAACAGTTGGACTTGATTTTAAAGGTCTTTTTCAACCTAAATGATTTGATGAATCTATGATGCTTTTCAAAATTTGAAAAAGTGTCTTTAAAGCTTTAGGTAAGAAAATATTTCTGCTTCCTTTCACTCAAATAGTGTACCTGAACTTATTTACAACTGCAGAAAACCGCATCACAATCCAGAATAACACACACATCCTCAAGGGCAGGATCAAATTGCCAAAAAAAATTCTGATGGGAAAAAATAATAAAAAAGTTAAACTGATGCATGAAGATTTTTATTTTAAAAAATGGACAAGATTAAAACCCCACGACCTTAAATAAAATTTCAGGAACCTCTCTTTGCCTACAAAACTATACACACAAACAAAACCACTAAAAACTCTGTGCCCTTGAAAGATCTATTGAAAGATCAGAACAAAGAAATGCTAAAGAAACTGCTAAAGAAACAGGTGTATTAGCCAACCATATAGAAATATTTTTCTAAGGGAAATCACTTCTTAAAGAATCAAGTAACAAGTTATGCCCTGAGAGTAAAGGATGCTTACTCTTTAATTCAACATGGTAATGTATCTTGTCTTAGCATGGCTTAATAGATTTTTAGGAAGATGAAAGAAAATAAGGCCTTTCCACAAAATGCAAGCAACAGATGACTTGTCTACACAACTTCTATTTCCCATTTTACTAATAAAAACAGAAGTAAAAACACACCATTATAGGCTTTGTCTTTTAAGTAATAAAAAACACAACCCCAAATCCATAAATCAGTCAAATATGGCACTGAATCTGAAGTCTTAGAAATAGCCTAGGACAAGCAGTCCTGCCATACAGTAACATGACAACTTACAAAAGACAGAACTGCATAACCCCCAGTATAATTACAATCAAATTTAGCAGTGGAATACAGTCTCCCAAATAAAATGTTCTATGACTGCAAAATGCTACCATTGCTGAAAGTACCGAAAGAGAAACATTTTGCAGGCTGATAGATAATACAGCTAACTGCACTTCCTCATTCTTCTCCCCAGATCTTAGGAAAAGCAAACCTCCCCAGAAAACAAATAAACAAACAGCAATATAGGATTATTTGTCTGTTTCTCTAATTTCTCCTATTTCATTGTTCTGAGCTTTATGTCACTTTCTTTGAAAATGTATTGCTGACAATTTTGAGGATAAATAGGACCATAAATAAAGTCCATTACTGAAGAAAAGCAAAGCTGTAAGTGCTCAGCATTTTTTTTCTTCAGACAAGGGAAGTGTACACGATCTACCATTTCCTTTAATAGCTTAAGCAAATGTTAGAGAAGCATATCATGTCACAAGAGATTTATTTAGGAAGAGTTGGTCTGCTACTGAATACGATAGTTTAAAATACAATACATTCAGACAAGCTGATAACTTCTTGTCGCAGCATTCCACAACGAGAAAGGTCTGACCCTTAAATATGAAGGACTTACGTCTCATGCGTGCCAAAAAAGAAAATAGGCATTTTATTTGTAGGAGGTTTTACTGCTCCATCAGGAACTTCATCCACCTACGGAAAAGACAGACTATAATTCAAGTCAAGTAACAGTTAAGAACAGTCTAGAGGGAAGTAAGTAAAAGTGCTAAGTATCAAAAAATAAAAAGCCACAGAGAAGTAAAGCAGGTCTCAAGATCTCTCTTTGACTGCATGTTAAAAAATACATCAGAATCAAAGACAGTATTAGCAGCAATAGGAAATTACAACATTTCTCACGTTACAGTAACATTTTTCACATAACTACTTTCTTTAAAAGGAGAGTCATGACATGCTACAGGTAAAAAGCACAGCTTGATCCATCCAGATACCACCCCTTCTTATATGCAATAGCACGACTTCCTGCACTTACACTGAGCTGTTAAGTTGCCCAACCCCAAATGTGCTACAAAAAGGAAAGAAAAAGGAAAAAAGTGCTACAAAAAGGAAAGGTCAAAAACTTTAAAAAAACCCCAATTCTTAACCCATCACCTTAGCTAAATCTCTCATAATTAGCCTTTTATCTACATTCCCACAGTTCTCAAATGACCTACAGCAGTCACAAAACCTGTCGCGCCTCTTCCAAGGGAGCAGCGACTCGAGGAAGGACGGGCGGGCTTATCACAGACACTCGGCTTGTTCTGCAGAAGGCGCCGTTATAGAACAGCTGGCTCTTAAAGTAGAGGGAAACCCTCCCATAACTTCGGGCTTTTTTTTTTCCGAGCAAAAAGAGCAGTTATCCGGGAACGGTATTTTTGCACGGCTGGCGGTTTACTCGGCTCCA